GATGGAGGTTTTCTTGGGGACTGGAATGATGGTGGAGCGTTTGAAGCAGGAGGGGACTTCACACAGCTCTAGTGACCTGTTGAAGGTAAGTGTGAAGATGGGGGCCAGCTGATCAGTGCACACTTTCAGGCAGGAAGGGGTCATACCATCTGGGCCTGGTGCCTTTCTGACCCTTTGTTTTTTAAAGAGGCCACACACATCCTTTTCACAGATCGGTAGAGGTGGGGGGCTGGAGGGAAGGGTGGTGATTGTCATGTGACTTCTCCACACAGCTTTTCAGAGTAGTATACAGATAAGAGATTTAATAAAACAAAGTTTTCTGCTAAATGTAACATGATTATTTTAGAGATGTGTAGGGCAATTGTAGTTGGTTGTTGAGTTTGTTTCAGAAAGGTGTGACTATATTTTCATGGGATCAACATGAACTCTTCTGCAGATTGTGAAGCTTTATGATTCTGTGAAAAGCCGAAATGAACAAACCTCCAAGGTAAGTACTGCTGTATAGACATGCATCTTATAATCCTTCATGAAGAATGTGCCCTTTTCTGTAATCATATACTGAAAATGAATGTCACATGTGTCACTTGATTCTGCTCATAGGATGGAAGCAAGAAAAGGACTACTGGTATAAAACACGACAAGAAAGCACAGATGTCAAAAAAGCCCAGAGCGTGTGCAGCTGGCGGTGGCAGCAGGCAGCTCTCACTCAGCTCCTTCAAAACAGTGAAAGAGGGATCCTGTTAGAGTCCTGCATCTTTGCCTTTATGATAAAGCATCACCCCTATGTTGCTAAGGTATTGTTATGGTACTGTGGTCCTATCACTGGCTGTTAAATACTGTACCAGTCTTTACTGTACCTGTAGATGCCAGTCCTTTAAAATGTTACAAAATGAAAAACAATCCAAAAATTCATATTTTGCTCAAATGGTACTGTATTTCTGCAGCAGCAGTGTACTTTGATTTTTAGGGACTTCACTGTAGATAATCACTTGGTTTTATCAAGATATTATGACTGAACTAATATGTATCATCTGTATGACATCCTAAACTTTGTTGCAGGATTGTCATCATTTTGTGACAACTGGCATGTTTTAAATACAGTATGTGAGATAACTGTCCTTTTTATTGCTACAATAAATTGTAAAATTAGCGAGAAAAAAAAAGATGTTAGCTTTGGATAGCAGAGCTCAGTTCGAGTCCAGTCACCGGACAGAAACTCATCTTCATGTTCCCTGGTGACATGGACACATGGACAAGTGTCCACATGTGTTATCTTCATCTTCGAGAAGTTTAACACATCATCAAATTTATAATAACAGTCTTTCTTGTTGCTGCAACTTGCAGACTTTGGTTTCTTGTAACTACTTTGATATGTGAAAGGAACAAGTTTTCATGATTTGTAACAAGAAAGACATCTAGTTAAAGCCTCTAGGGAGCAGTGGTGGAAAGTAACTTCATTAGCTTAAGTACAAATTTGAGGTATTTGTGTTTGAGTACTGTACTTTCATTTTTTTGTTACTTCACACTTGGGCTTCCCTACCCAGCAGTAATTCAGATTATAAGTATATAAGTAGTTAACATTAGCCCCCTTTTACCAGCTGCAACATTAAATGTGGTGAACATAATAATGTCCCAATAATTATAATCCAATAATATGATGTACATTAATGCGAAATGTGCCATTCTGCATAATGAGTGTTTTTACTTTTGGTTTTTTTAATGCTAATTATCATTTTGAATGCAAGCCTTTTACTTGTAATAAAAGCATTTATACACAGCCATTGCAACTTTTCTTCCACCACTGCAAGTGAATATATTATGGCTCATATCAGAGAAACTTACAGTGACCCAACAAACTTTAATTTCACACCTGAGACAACTCATTGTGATATTTTACAGTTACTGATTTCAGAAAATGGTTTTGTCTTATTGTCGGTGCAGTACATGTGTAGACTAAGATGATTTTAATAGGCTACTATACATACAGTATACTGTTTCTGTAGAGGAAAACAAATTTGATCTCGTCTTGTTTCATTGACTGGACATGGAAGACTGTGGAAATGTGTCCTCCTGGATTAGTACAAAATTTAAAGTGTTTTTCATCAATCATAAACACGGATGATCATCTCTGACCATGAATTAGCAATAGTTTTAATACAGCTCAGATAACAATTGATGGATGGAATACTGTAATGCTATACAGTAAACCATGCTGTACTGGAATCTATTTATTGTCCCTAGATTGTGCCTTTCATTTTAAAAAACCTATGCACTATAATAATACACAGTATGTGCAATCATATAGTGCATAAGAATTTATTCATTCATTTTCTACTGCTTAATCCCTGAGCCGGGGGGGGCAATCGGGCAAAGGCGGGGTACACCCTGGACAGGTTGCCAATCCATCGCAGGGCTTGCATAAGCATTAAATCCCTCTACTGTCCAAAACTACTATCAACCTGATCCTGTCAAGTCAAGATTTTTATTTGCCATTTATGCATAAACAGACAGTCTAGGCATATAGGAATTCTTGTGCAGCTCTCCTTTGGAGTCAGGTAAGGTGTCAAAAGCCAGAAAGAACACAGAACAACATCTGACAGGTAAATCCCCATGTTTTTATTATTTCATTGTAATGCAACTTATTGTGATGTGAAAATTCCTTTTTGTAGTACACAATAAAAGGAAACATTTGGAAAAATATTTTTATATACAGACAATCCCCTTGCCATTGTCGATATACACTTTACTGATGATTATGTCTTCACGCGGTCACAAAAATGTAATGTTATGAATTTCAACTGGATTATACAAATATACTTTTTTCTTCTCTTGTAGAAAAAATGTGGCAGAGTGTTGTTCTAGTGTGCACCGGCAGTACTGCACCTGTGTTTTTATTTGACTGAGTAAAGTTATTATTCAGAGCATCCTGATTGAGGAGGCGTTGGCAATGGTTCAACCCAGCTTTTCTGAGCCACCTGATGAAGTATAGCTGCTGCTGGGCTTTCTTCACTGTGGCGGCTGTGTTCAGTGTCCAGCTCAGATCAGATGTCACACACACACAATACAGGGAGTGATCCAAATCTCAGTAAGACTTTGTCTCCACTCACTCTGGGAGATAACTCCATATTTTTGCTGACTGGTCTTTACTTTGGTTTCTGTCGGCATAGCTGGTCGCTCCAGTCCATCTAGTCATGGCAAGGATCTGGTTGGACTGGACTGACCTGAAAGTTCAGCTCTATTAGCAGTTATTTACCAGAGAGTTCCAGGGACTGTCCAAAGGTTCTGCACGGCTGAAACAAGGTGAGCACCTGTGGATGAATTATTTTTGTATTGTTCAGTGTTTCTTCTTTTAATTGTTGAATTCCTTTATGTTTTCAGATGGCCTCTGCATGGCAAAGTTTCCTATCTGTGCACCAGAGGATAGTGGACAATGGGGGTATGATGCTGATTTTCCTACATATTCACTTAACTTTGTTTTTACAGAAAACTCATATCTCCTCTTGTGTCTGTGTTTAGTATGTGGGAGGTGTAGATCCCTCCCACTGGGCTGCTTGTTATTGGCCTATCAAGTCCTTGACAGCTTTTTTTTAATGAATGTTTTATGCTTTGAATTTGGTTAACACTTAAATCAGCACATATAAAGAGTCATCTGAGCTGAGCAGCAACAACATAAACTATAAAAAAAAAAATCTGCCACTGTCAAAATCAAAAATGATCTTTATTCAGTGCTGAAGGTTTGGGGCAAGCAAGCATCTCCTAAAGCTTGTAATTCTAGCTTGAAATGTCTGCTGAAATGTGCTGATTAGTATGAGAAAAGTCTCAGAAATAGAGCTCTGTTATCTTCTAGACAAGAGGACAGATCCCTGGCTGTTGGTCTACTCACCAGTCCCTGTGTCGCTGCTCTTCCTGGTGTACCTCTGCGTGATCTGGGCCGGTCCTCGCCTGATGAAACACAGGCAGCCTGTTGACCTCAAGGTTGTTCTCATTGTTTACAATTTTGCCATGGTTGGCCTGTCAGCCTACATGTTTCATGAGGTTTGTGAATGCAGCTTTTTCTCCTGTTGTAACACAGAAATCTAATCAATTCTAAGCCCAGTAAAGATGGAAGTAATAATTTAAAATACTGACTTTTATTACTAGATATGAAATTTAAATGATTGTTTTAATATTTCCAGTTCCTGGTCACATCCTGGCTCTCAAAGTACAGCTTGCTCTGTCAGCCTGTAGATTACAGCACCAGCCCGCTGGCAATGAGGGTAAGCAAGCTTCTCACTTGTTACAGACAGGTGACAAATTAAAGCAAATAAGCAACATAAAGAGTCATAGTAAGGTGTTGGGCCATCATGTGCCACCAGAGCAGCTTCAGTGCTCTTTGGCAATGACTCTACAAGCTTCTGAACTCTACTGGAGGGATGAACACCGTTCTTCCACAAGATATTCTCCCTCATGGTGTTTTGATGATGGTGGTGGAGATGCTGTCTAACGTGTTACTCCAAAAAACGGCCACAACATATGATTCACATAATTTTCATAGCCATCAAACCATTCAGTGACCCCTAGTGCCCTATGGATGGGGGCATTGTCATCCTAGAGGGGAGCACTCATTTCCTCAGGGTTTTTGTTTTATTTATCATCTGTCTGCATTTTTTGCAGGAGCTATATCACAAGCTATAATTAATGCACAATTCACAGTAAAGTAATCCTACCAGACAGCTGAAGGTGCAGCTTAAAAGATAAAATGTGCATTACCCTTTCTGAATCAACAATAACATGCAAAACTCACCTTATTTCATTCTGTGCTTCCTTCAGATGGCCAAAGTCTGCTGGTGGTTTTTCTTCTCCAAAGTCATAGAGCTCAGTGACACGGTATGTGCCTGTTAAAACTTTTTCACTACCTGTGATATTTGCTTGAGCCGCAGAGTTAAGTTTCTCTTCCTGCTGTGAACAGCTCTTCTTCATTCTGAGGAAGAAGAACAGTCAACTGACTTTCCTTCATGTCTACCATCACGCCACCATGATCTTCAACTGGTGGGCCGGAGTCAAGTATGTGGCTGGGGGACAGTGTAAGTCAATGTTTGTACTAATTTATTCTTATTGCTTGAACAATACTGATGCATTTAAGTATTAGCTTATGTGCCACAGAGAATTAATCAAATATACTACTTAAATGTACAATCTAGCTTTTTTTTTTTAAATGTAACTATACAATATATGTACAACCCCCTTTTTTTATTTAAAGCTTTACATTTTCATTGGAAACAAACTTTATAGTTAGTGCCATAGACAGCTCTGAAAAGTCTTAAACTATTAAAAGACATGCAAGATTTGAATGTTATAGGCTGTAGTAACAGACACACAAACACATTGTTGGTTTTATTCTTTAATTGGTTTTAATGGACAGTAAAAAAAAAGCTACAGGATTTGTTCCCTCTTTATGAAAACACACTTCAGCAAGACACTAAACTTGAATTTGACAGATAAGGATTATTGATCCAAGCAGGTAGATTTTGATGAGGACTCTTGTAGAGTATCATTACCTCGGCCAAGGAGGTAATGTTTTCACCATTGTTTGTTGGTTTGTTCACAGCATATTTCAAAATGTAATGAATGGATTTTGATGAAATTTTAAGGAGGGGTAGGGAATGGCCCATGGAACAATCCATTAGATTGTGATGATGATCTGAATAATGGTCTGCATCCAGGAAATTTTTTAAAGTGTTCTTCACCATTGTGAGATAGGACCAATTTCAATATTTTTTGGCTTCTAACTTCATACACAATACATAGAATGCTTGAACAAAAATTGCACGAAAACATCCACATAAGATCTACCACACACTGATATACGATCTGGATCTCAATAATATTCTGGATCTGGTGATCTAGAATGTTCACATCTATAGGGCTCACAGAAAATCAAACAACAAATAATGCTACAGACTCGCAACCAAGATCAGATTCCAGCATAAACTGCTGATTCAGTAGAGCGTCAACAGATTTGACACTCAAAAGGTACCAAGCTATATCCTGAAGAAATTTGCCCTTAGTGAAATAGTTTTTCTTGAATAACTTTCAAACTAATAATGATTTCAATGTGACTCCAAATGCTAGGAGTAGTCCAGAAATCATATTGTGAGGGACAAGCTATCACAGGAATGTTGCTTTTAGGTGGAATGCCATTATGGGGACAGTGAGCTGCCTGGGCGAAGGTCTGCGCTGTTAATGCTGTCTAGTCTTTGTACTGTAATATTGCTTTTTTTTTGTAGAGTGTAAGGTCTCAGGACCTGTATTACCAATGAGTTCCAAGAAGTGGTACCAGTTTGTGCCCCTTCTGATTATTCACTGTCAATACTTGGAAGTGTTTCTGTATTTGATACCATTTAATGATGGTTGTTTTGGGTACTGAGACAGAGTTAACAGATGTTTTTCCATTCTTGCAGCGTTCTTCATCGGTCTAGTCAACACCTTTGTTCACATTGTAATGTACTCTTACTATGGCCTGGCTGCTATTGGCCCTCACATGCAAAAGTACCTGTGGTGGAAACGATACCTGACGTCTCTGCAGCTGGTGAGTGGCTCCTGCTCTGTACAGCAGGGATTATACATGTATACACCATATGTTAGAGAAGTAACTAAACTGATCTGAACTTTGTTGGCTGCCTCTCCAGTTGCAGTTTCTGATGATCCTCCTGCACACGGGCTACAACCTGTTCAGCAAGTGCGACTTCCCCGACTCCATGAATATGGTGGTGTTTGCCTACGCCACCACTCTCATCCTCCTCTTCAGTAACTTCTATTATCAAAGCTACCTCAAGAAGAAGAAGCAGAAATAAGCAGCAGTGCTGAAGCATTACACACAAACACAATGATATGAGCTGATAGTGTTAATGAAGTTTTTTGTATGCAATACTCATCAGGATCCACTAGGAGGCAGAACATGCACATCAACCGACTGTTAAGCCCTATGGTCAGACATGAACACTGAGTAATCATATATCTAACATGAACAAGTTCTCCATTTTGTAAAAATGCACGGCATTGTATGATTCATTTATTTCTTAAATTGAGAAATGACAGACATTCAAATGATTGTTGTAAACAAACTGTACATTTTATACACATAATAATAAAGTAAGTTGCTTTCTCTGCATTATTGCAGAATAAATGAGCCCAAACCCTCCTTGGGGAAAAAATCCAAAAGCAGAAATCCACTTAACAACAAAATACAGAAATGCAAACATTTTTTCCCAGCACAGCAAAATAATATATTATTTTCAACACTTCAGTCTAAACCAGATCAAAATATGTAGATTAGAAAGGAAGAATGAGGAAGGAGAGGATGTTTCATTCATTCAGAAGTTTTGTAGAGTTTGACATTTACATAATAAAGCTGAAAACACTGCATGTGTAATATCAGTCTGATTGTACTGTAAGTGTGCACATCTTAGCACCAATGTAACCAAGTCAGATTCTGTGTACATTGTAAGTTCTTAGCCAATAAATGAGATTGTATTATCAGCAAACTGATGATACAACGGTCATTGGTCTCAGCCGAGACTATGACGAGTCAGTCTACAGACGGGAGGTTGAGCAGCTGGTCCTGTGGTGTAGCCGCAACGACCTGGAGCTGAACACGCTCAAAACAGTAGAGATGACAGTGGACTTCAGGAAGAACCCCCCCCACCTTACCCCCCTCGTTATACTTGGCAGCACTTTATCCACAGTAAAGTCCTACAAGTTCCTGGGCTCCACTATCTCCCATACAATCTATTTGAACTCCTCCCCTCTGGACGGCGTTACAGCTCACTGTGCACTAAGACAACCAGGCACAGGGACAGTTTCTTCCCCCAGGCTGTCACTCTGATGAAATATTAGAAAATATTAGAGGATAATAAAAATAACATGAGAGGTACTTGGAATATATTAAATAAATTGATTAGAAATAGTTCTAGAAAGAGTAACTACCCTCAAGGCACTACAGGTCACTGTGCACCAAGACAACCAGGCACAGGAACAGTTTCTTCCCCCTGGCCATCACTCTGAAGAACACTTAACCAATGACCATATGATTGGACAATAACCCTCAGTGCAATACCTGTGTATATATACATTGTACAGATTATACAGACTCATACAGGTCTCTAGTTTTAAGTACTCTGTTTTTATCCCTTATCCCTATTTATCTCATTTTAATGAACATTCCTTGTTGTCTGCATTGTTTAATGTCTGTTTATACTGCTTATTCTGCATTGTTTGCACTTTATGTTGCTTGTAAATACTGCTTATTTTTGTTATATTACACAGCCTTATGCTGGTTTACTGTTTGCACATTGAGAGCCGATGTACCAGAGTCTAATTCCTCGTGTGTTCAACACACCTGCCCAATAAAGCTGATTCTGATTCTGATTCTCAATCTAAAAGGAAAGCTTATAGATCACTGAAAGACTCTGGGAAAGGGGTTTTAAACGTCAATGTTCCTTCACTTAACTAGTAAAATGCTTCCATGTTTTTTCTTTGACTCCTGTTACACCTTCATTTAATGTGAGTAAAAATTTTGCCATCCAGAATGAGATCAGTGTCTTCCAAAAATCTGTGCTTTCATCAATTTGAGGGACTTGCTGGGGACACATTAACATAATGGTCAAAATCTAACTATCAAAAGTTGATATCCTGATTTTTAGTCTCTAGTCAAGCTCAAGAAACACTGGATCCTACTTTAACAATAATGCAGCTCTACCAGAAAACAAGCAACTAATAAGTGGGCACAAAAGTGCCATTAGACGTAATGATCACCACTATCGTGTTGTGGCAAATTATAATGACATTTCTACTCTCAATTTTCATGGCATTGAAAAGGTGTTTTCTCCACCACAGGGAGGGGCTATGGCTCTCTTTTTTAAAAAAGACGATGAGCGTTATGCATCTTTTCTTTACAAACATTGAAATCCAAGGCCTGAATAAAGATTTTCCTTGACATGTGCCGTTATAATTAATTGGTGGTGTTGGTTTCCCTTGATTCATTCCAATGTACACGTGATGGCAGTTAGGAACATTTGTTTTATTTTTGTTTTTTTACATTTTCTTGAATAAGATGTCTGTATAGTGTATTTTGTGATTTTTTAAAATTGTATAATATTGTATAATATTCTAATGCAAATACTGATTATCCTGTCTTGTCATTTTTGTACCGTGTTTTTGTATTCATTTTTGTGTCTTCTTTTTCCTCAGATCACTTACTAGGTGTATTCTTGTTTGTTCAGGTGCATTTGATGTAACAAGGGTGTCCTGTCTGAATTAGATGAATCTATTTCCCCCATGTCCCCTGCAGTAACAAATCATCTTACACTGCCAAAATGTTTACAGGAACATAGTACAGATTTCACCTCCAGAGTGTTTAGCGTCACCCTTGCTTGCATTGAAAACTGGGTCCTTGAATTGCTACTTCTACTGCTCCATGTTGATTCAATGGGTGGAAATACAAACAGCGCCCCTCTTTTATTGGTGTAGTTATTACATTTGCAATGAAAAGATACAACAGATGGAGACATTTTACACAGTACTATTATTTGATCATCTCGCTATAAATGCACAACCTAATTAAAGAGTAAAGATGTTATCTTTTTAAAACATTAATTTGCATTGTTCTACATGATAAAATACTGTTTAAATGAGTAGTTTATCTAGTTCTGATTAATTGTATTGATGTATATTGTAATAGTTTTAGGGGCTGACATGGGACCTCCACTGTTGGACATTTTGCCTCGAGCTACTGCTGCAGAGACTCTGGGCTATCCAACGTGGAAGAGTGGAAGCCTGTGACCTGGCAGCTTTTAACATGAGGGATCTGTGGAGAAGCTTGCTGCTTGTTGGTTTTTTTCTCCACACCTTACACAGCCTAATGAAATTAATCTCACTACTGTCAGGGATGTGATGCTATGTCTTATCTTTTGTTTAAGTTAAACTGTATATGCCTGTTAAAAAGGGAATTTCTGGAAAAAGAATTGTATGAATGGATAAGATGTTTTAATTTAATTTAGAACATTACATTTGTTTTATTCAAATTAATTTGGATTTAATCCATACCCATATTCAAATTTAGGGTGGGGAAAAAAAAAACTAAACTCACCCTTACTGTGGGGAGAAACGATCGCTTTTCCCCAGCTTAAACCATGAGAATTATTGACTTGTTTTATTCTGTATTTATCGTTTATTTAATTACAGAAGCTGGGTGTGGAAAAGTGAGCTAGGCTGTCAAATCACCTGTCATTCAAAGCCATAAATCACTGAGTTTGACAGAAGCTCTATTATTATTTTCTATTAGCTTATCATGACAGCTGATCTGATCTTCATCTGTAAAATCCTGAGTACTTAAATTCAATATTCATACTTGCACTATATCAGATAATATTTCTCAGATGTGCAGTTTGGTTTAGTTTCTTGAGGATTACTAGATTTTATCTGAAAATTATTTGTATAAGGAAATGGGGGGGAGGGGGGCATCTCTTTGGTTAAACTGGTCATAACTGGCACACCTATTTAAACCAGTAATGAGAGGTAACAAGTAAATTGTATTTTGTTTTAAAGGAATAGTTTGGCATTTTGAGAAATGCCCTTATTTGCATTCTTGGCTAAAGTTATGTGAGAAGATCAATAGCACTCTCAGGTCTGTTTTAAATGTGAAGCTACAGCCAGGAGACAGTAATCTTAGCACAATGATAAGACACAATAGGAAGCAAGCTAGCCTGGCTCCATCCACCTATCTGCACCTCTAAAGCCCAGTAATTATACAGTATGTTGTTTAATTCATACAAAGAAAAAAGTGCAAGCACATTTAGGAGCAGGCTAGCTGTGTCCCTGTTTCCAAGCCTTTTGCTGTATGCTGACCTAAACAGCTGCTGGCTGTAGCTTCATTTTTAACAAAATAAGGTACTGTATGAGCATGATGTGAGTCCTCTTATCTTTGTGCAAGAAAACAAATATTTTCCAAAATGTCAAACTATTACCTTGAGGGGTCTGTTTTAAATATTATAACAGGGGTAATTTGCTCAGTCTCAGCTCAGTCATCAACCAAAAGTGTAAACTAATTTGATGTCCAAATTTTCTTGTTGGTTCCACCCATCTGGCACCTAAATAGGTCAGCTAAGCAGAACAGTTTTGATTTACTATATGACTCATTTCTTGTCTGAAAAAGGGAAACAGGAACTAGAGAAAACTCCTGTGAGAAGATGCATGTGGAAGGAGTGGGACTGCAGAGTACTAGAGGAAATGAAGTGCGCCCTGCTCCAGTGTTGCTCTATGTCTCTGTGTAGATGGAGGACACATGGCTCAGGCTGCGGTCAAAGCTGCCCACCTGGAAGAAAATGCTCTCCTCTGGGCTGCAAGAAAACTGGCACCCTGCATTTCCTTGCAGCTCCTGGGTCAAGCTGAAGCCTGAAATGGACATGATAATCACAGCATGTTTGGATGAAATCTTTCAGGTGATCTTTTTTATTTTGGATGATGAGCTATAGGTAAGATGCGATCACCTGCAGAGCCAGTGTTGGCTGCTGACACATGGAAGCCATTGTGCTGATGGGAGCTGTAGGCATGAGACTCTCCTGGGATGTGGACACCACCAACTGGCTGCTCCATCCTGTAGGAGTCTCCAAAATGGAAGCAGCTCTGAAAGCTGCCTTGGTATTCTAGGAAATGAGGATGTTAAATAGCAGGGAGGACATAAAGGGGAGAAATAGAAACCAGACTTGATCAACTGCCACCAGTGTCTATGGGTGATTGTTTCCCAAGGTCAATGAATGTCTGCTCTATCTGCCTGAAACCAAATGTGGATCTCAAATTATGACAGTGCTATATTTGTGCTCATGCTAACTCTGCCAGCCCCATAGTATATAACTTTTGCCCCCATCTACTCAGTTTGTACTCAGAATTGACCACAGGAGTCACAATAATGGGAAAGCAGCCTGTCTTTGAGCACGTTTACGCAACTCTCTGACCACAGCGTGGTTAGAGAGATGTCCATGTGTGGATCCTTACAGGGAAAACAGTGTTTAAGGCATTAGGAAAACAGCTTGGGAGTGACAGCTGAGCCTGCCATGTAAGGGTGCTGAGAGACAGCTGAATACATGAGCCAGCATTTTGTTGGCTAATTTGGTGCAGGGAAAACGCTTCCGGCATGTGGTTTTCCACGCACTGTCTCTAGGACTCCAGTCTCTCTGTGTCCTAAAAATGCTCTGGCAGAGCTGTAAGGCAGTATTGCTGCTCTGAGACAACTTCCTCTCTTTGGGGCTTGTGGGTCTGGTAGTACAGCAAAGCATTTGAATAAAGACACAGGGGAGTTCGGATCTGAATCATGTTCAAGTGATCTGACATTGTAAATCCTCTCATAGGAGTTTATGTAAGAGTATTAGGCTACATATTACTGAATCACCTGTCACAGAATATTAAATTCAAATGCTGATGAACAAAACATCAAAAACAGATTACCTGAAATGGGTTACAACCAGCCAGATGTCTCTGGGACAATCTTACCGTCAGTGGCAGACTGATGGTGGTGATACTGAGAGTAGGGCTTGTGGTGAGGGTGGACATGCTGTTTCTCCAGTAGAGGAGGAGGAGGTGTCCCTGTTCCCTTTATCCCAGGAGACAGGAGGGGATCTGACACTCTGGAGAAGTCAGAAAGGGTGGGTGAGGAAACATTTAAAGCTTTTCTTTACCATTATTCTTTTCTTGACAGCCTCAATAATTTCCCAATAAAATGCCTCATGCACTGGGACATCCAAATCAAAGCTGGAGCTGTATGCCGGCCGGCTAACCGCATGATCCGACAAACCCAGCGGAGCAGTTACTGATCCTAAACACACAGAAGAAGAAACAGTCCAGGCATGTGGAAACTTGGGCTGCCCACATGTAATCGTCCTCTTACCACATTATGATCTTGAGTCAACAAACAGCAGAGTGTGCATTCAAGTGAAACCACCCCCCTACACACACCACCCAGCATTGCAGTAACCTCAGGCTTTGTGGCCTGTAGAGAAGAAAGCACTGTAGCATTTACATTCATGACTTTTGAGAGACGAAATATTAAGATGACATGTTTGTGACTTTGTGGATCCGAACAGCCTGGAGAACAAATGAGGTTTCCACACTGGCTTGTTTTCCTGGATACTGATCATTTAAACAAAGGTTTGTCTATGGGGTACATTTACCATTTGATACTGGAGTGGTAATATTTAAATGGAGCATAAAAAAATTTAAATGTCGATTTTTCTTTGGTCTCGGCTTTTAAGGGGCACATTGTGCGGCGTGGAAACCAAAATCTGGAGATCAAAGACAAAGCCAGTGATGAACTACTACAAGCACAGGAGCCGATTTTAAGTTTGCCATTTAGTACCACAGTTAATAACCTGCAGAATGAACTGAACACTGCTCAACATGCGTCACTGAGCTTGTACGGAAACTTCCTCTGCATAACATATAATTTAGCAGAAAAAAGTGTTGTTTTTTTTTTTATTTTGTTGTTGTAAAGTGTGAACAATCTTCATTTTGCATTAAAACCAAAGCTGTAGAAGCATTAGATTCCTTTCAAACAGGTCTCATGCTTTAAAATGTGATGGGAATTTTACTTGTCTGTCTTGTGTCCTGTTGATGTCCTGAATCATGCCTGCAGTCTTACCGAGTTGCACTGACTAGCATTTCCATTTTGGTAAATGGTACAAGTCTGGACTAATTCATTATAAGGAAATAGTTAGATTTTTTAAGAATTGTCCAGTTCCATTTCTTGTCAAGAGCTGAAGGAGGAAACCTGTATACACCATGTCATGTCTGTATGACCAGTGTAAATCTCTAGAGCCAGAAACCCATTAGCTTAGCTTAGCACAAAGACTGGAAATGGGGAAACAGCTAGCGTGGCCCTGTCCAAAGGTAAAAGGTATGCCTAGCAGCACCCTTACATTTCATTACTTTCTATGCTGCTATATACCTGGTAGTTTATTTAATCAAAACAAACACTGAAGTATAGAACTGGCAGGTTGTATGCAGATGTTTAGAAATGTTATCACTGAATAGTATCAAATTTATCAAATTTTCAGGAAGAAAATAAATAATTAAAAATGTCAACGTATAACTTCAACATAAGGGTTACAACTACACATGTTTTTGATATGTGCTTTGTTCAGCCTTGATGAGATCACAGTAGTAAATTTATCCAGAAACAGTAAGAACCACATCGGGTATTAATTCAGACATTTAAATGTTAAATGTGAAAGTTAAAAACTAAAAATGACCAAGGATTTAACAACTCAATGCTGCACACTTGACACAACAATCTGGTCCAAACCCAGATAACCTACAGCCCAGCCTTTAAAATAAAGCCTGCCATTCACCACCCAAAATATTCAGCAGCTATTTGGTACCGCTCACAACTGCATATCAGGAACACAACACAAACTGTTGCTGGTTTAATATGTGAAAGCATATGGTTTGCACTAAGCGCTATACAAATGTGATGACAATGTTGCTGGAGGTGGCCGATCCCTCAGATGACCACAGTCCTGTAAGATCTATTGCTCCATCCATTTGGCAGAGAGTGGGCAATAAAGGGAGATGGTAAACAATGTCAAATGAAAAAGGAAGAAGCTGCAAAACTTTGTTGTCCATGCTGAATCTATTTTACATTTTATTTACAGCTTCAGGATCTCAGTGCTTCTGACTTTATCAATAGAGATCATCATAAAACTAGAGTATGTATAAAAATACTCTGTTTTTATTTCCTCTGTAAGAGAGGTCATGTTTTTGCTCCTGCATGTCTTCTATATTTTTGTCTGTCTCATAAATGTACAAATGAATCTCGTGAAATTTGGTGGAGAAATTGACCTTGAGCCAGTGAACACACATTTCAGCAGTAATCTGGGATTTCCATCATACAAATAACCACCTGTGGATAGTACTGCACTTTTACTATTCAACTACTGCTTATATTGCAGATATCAAATTTTTTTTTTTTTTTTACAAAACATACAATCATCTTATAAAATATTATGCATTTCTTATAGATTATAATACCCAGTAGTATATACACTGATCAGCCATAACATTATGACCACTGACAGGTGAAGTGAATAACATTGATTGTCTAATTACAACAGCACCTGTCAGTGTGTGGGGAATTTTAGGCAACAAGTGAACATTCAGTCCTCGAATTTGATGTGTTGGAAGCAGAAAAAAACAGGCAAGAGGCAGGATCTGAGCAACTTTAACAAGGGCCAAACTGTGATGGCTGACAACTGGTTCAGAGCATCTCCCACACTACAGATCAGGTTGGGTGTTCCTGGTCTTCAGTGGTTAGTACCTACCAACAGTGTTTAAGGAAGGACAAACAGTGAACAGGTTCATGGATGCCTAAGGCCCACCGATGATGAAGTTGATCCACTGTAGATGAAAGTTTTAAATGTCATTCATCCTTTTAACTGTGTTTAAATCTTTGTTAAAATGGCTGAAAATGAGAAATATTGACCATTGGTCTCTATGAAGAGAAACATTCAGCATATCACACCTAGAGTGGGGAGGCTGTTGAATGTCTAAAATATTATTTCTATTAACATATTTTTATCACTATGTGATAGACAAATTCATGTTCTTTCAGACAGTAGACAAATTCACACAAGATGCACAGTGATCTGCAGGGACATGAGTGCCAGCTAACTGCCACACTGACTCCTGTGTACAGGTTCTCATAATGTTATGGCTGATCGGCGTAAAGTTTTCAGAATTACATCCACCCTTACCAGCTAATACATTAAAATGCTGTTTGCACAGTAATATTAACCCATTAATAAGACAAAGGGGCTGTTCTGTCAACTATTTTTTATTGATTGGTATTGCTACATTTATTTTTGTAAAAGATCTCAAAACTTCTCACTAGCTTTAATAAAGCTTTGCCAGACTAGTAACATTAAACCAACTTAAAAATAAGGTGATAGGACAGATGTCCTTGGAAATAACAGCACTCTGGAGAATTGTTCCACACTGGTATCATTTAAGTGCATAACTGTACATCAACTACAATTGACCTCCATGTCCATCTCTACAAAACCAAGGAAGCTTGTGGGGCGTGTGTTAGTCCAGCCCAGGAAAGCTAGCTGCTACCTAGCTGGCTGATCCATGGGGTTGGCACAGGCCCAGAGCATGGCCATGTGTTCCTGCAGAGAGCAGCGTTCCCCCAGGAGCTGCTGTCAGCACAAACTCAGGAAACAGTTACACTGTTCATATTTTTACAAGCTGCCTCTATGTGCAGCTAAAGTGAATCATAAGCTAATCACTGCCAGCTGCCCCTGGCCCTCCTCTTGCTAGTCTCTAGCTTGCTAGCTACTCAAGCTTGAGGTATGAAGGGAATCTTTCATATGCCATGTTAATCTCTCCCTTGATATTCATCTATATTGACCATCGTACACTGCTATTTTTTCCAGCCAGCCCACCCACTCCTATCCTGTTCCAATGAGAAAGTGATTTGATCACTGACCTGTTGATTCCTTAAGGTAGAGTTAGAAGAGATTTTAAAGTGAGGCTATCAGATTGATAGACAACATTTTATAAATGCAAAGAAAGTCAAGAAGAGTGTTGAGAGATATGGAAAATACTTGTGTGCTTTCTTCTACGACAGAATGATGTAAACCTTGACCTCTATTACATGAAGATTGTGTGAGGGAGAGCTGTTAACGTGAGTTCTTTTTAGTGGCTGATGAGCTAAATGGTTTATAAGATCTCACCAGCTCAGTGACGTCAACTTGAGTGTCTTAGTGAGTTTTCTGAGTAATATGGGAACGCTGATGTCAGTCTGGGAATAAGGTTCGGTCCAGTGCTGAAATTTACAACTAAACTCCAGACGTAGAAATGCTACAACAGGAAGATGAAAAAGACATTCTCACATGGACTGTTTGAGCTACTCTGAAGCCACACAAATCCAGACAAAATGAATGGAATTCAGGTATGCAGGCATGGATGTCATCACTTACTAAACTGCAACTATTGTCCAGATACATTGCCCTTGCAGTCTTGGCTCTCTGTATAGAGGGATGGATCGGGCAGAAAGACAACCGAAGATCCATGAGCAGCCCTGCTCTGCTCCTCGTTCATCTTCCTTCATCTGCAGTAAGTGTCCTACCAGAGAGCAGGGGGGGTCAGAGCCTCTCCTTTACAGAGCCTACATTCTCCACACACACCCTCTGCTTGCTCTCTTATCCTCCCCTCCCCTCTTTCTGTAGCTGACCTGACTGTTAAGCCCCGCTGATGGATGATGGGCTTCTTTGGCGAACACTGGTGGGAACACTTCTGGTTCTGGTTAGCAAGCTAAAACTGTGCTTGGGAAACAGACTACAGCACCATGGCTAAAGCTAAGCTAAAGCTAAGCCAGCCTCCAGGCCCCCAATGTGAGGAGCACAGCCAGGACTCATAATATTTTTGGGGCCCAGGAAGATAACTGCCCTTAACACAAAGGATCCATCTTTAATCACATCCTTCTTGGATTAATTTTGACAGTGAATCATCTGGATCTTTTCTTTGAGTTAACCATTTGTACAGATGAGTTAACTGACTACACATTATTAACCAAGCACCACAAATTGAGTAACTGACCACATGCTGGCAAGAGGAGAGAGAAATGAGTAACTGACCACATGCTGGCAAGAGCAGCTACTTCAAAATAAAATTTTCTCTGATTGACACTCATTTTCTGGATCACTGGAGAATGATAATGGCTGGAATACAGACTGTCTAGAGTTACAAGCCATGAACGTCCCCCTTCAGAGCAGGAACTCTTAATGTAGCTCTGTGCTGCCACTCTAATTCAATTAGCCTGTGTCAATCACTGCTGAGGTATCAAACCACCTCAGACTAATATTTGCAGAGGGGCTTTAACATCAATACACAGGTAAAAAGCAGTGAGTCCCCCCCTCTGCAATTATATAACCACAAACGGCTGAAGCAGTGAATGACAACATTTACTGCCATAGTTGTACTGCCATCTCTATGAGAAAGGCCCTACACACACTCACTCACACACACATGCTACGGAGAGTGCAAAATGTATTTTAACTGGCATATTTTGATATTAGCTTCAGAAAAATGACACTGGTATTTACAATGTAAAAGGAGTCTAAATGGCCCATCTCAGCCAGAGAAAACACATTTAGCTATGAGGTCAGAGGCTGCCACACTAGAAGCAGGTTAGTTTGATAATTTTGTCAAAATGTTTAATGTACTGCTAAACCGTTTGGGAAAAACAAGCGCAATGCTGATATTGACTTTGGCAGCAGGCTGAATACTGAAGGAGTGTAAATCAAATGCTACATCTTCATGCAAATGTAAGTAGACATTTCATGCCCAGCTAAGTTGTAGGTCCTGGCACAAGTCACTTTTTGACTCCTTACCCCACTCACCCTCCATACAGTGTGATGAACGGATAGAGCACTACAGCATGTGTGTACATTCATAAGTGCCTTTGGGTCAAACATCTTGATCTGATGAAATTTGGAAATTGCTGCAACCTCAATGCAGCGTTGTCATTGCGTTACAAGTACAGCGCACTTACAGTGGGGAAGCTAAGATATACATGAACAAAGTAGATGACTTCTTTGGCATAATGGGCACTCATGTTCCATATGTAAGGAAACAAGCGATTCCCATCATGCTGTGCAAGCACACACACAACATTCAGATGTTCCTCATCAAGCTCCTAAAGCAACAGGCCCATGTCTCACATCCAATAAATTACTCTGCCAGTGTAACTCGTTACAGCATCCTCTGCTCATTTCCATTCCTTTCCTTATGCTGGTAATTGTGCATGCCACTGAGAAAGAGGCACTGAAACCACAAGGTAATTCCTACAGCGTTCTCCTACTTTCAGTACTTGAAACAACACATCACCTTCCACGCTGGGCTGATGCTCTGAGCGGCACTTGGACATTTACATCCCAGTGGGTTCTTCAAATGGGAATGCTGTACTGCTTGGGCTGAAAGTCGACCAATCTGCTGCCCCTCACAGCCCAATCACTGGATTACTATATGTAAACTCCTCTCACTCACATATAGACACATGCATGAGTAACAATGAAGACTAAAAAAAAAAAAACTAATAAAAACTCACTGAAAGCAATTACATGTGCACTGGTATCCTGGTTACGATCATGTAAACATCATATCCTGGTTTCACAAACCTGGATATGTTACCTGGAGAACTCCAACAGGAACCAGGATACTATGGCATGTAAACACCTTATCTGGGCTGAGCTGGTAAAACATCACAACACACCTGCAGGCAAGACAATCACATATCTGGACATTGCTAGACTCATGAAGTATGGAAGCAAATAACCAAGTTTTTTATGTTCAGTGTAAATGCCATTTCCAAATATAATCAGAAACAGAATCAGAGTCAAAGCCAGGATCATCATCAGCATACATCCTGTTATTCTGTCATATGCTGTTGTGTATACTCATAAAACTGTATATAAGCACAGACACTCAAAGAGCAGATCACAGAGTTAAGAAAAGGCATGTTTATGTAACATGATCACTTTTGTAACACAGGGTTTATGACGCTTGATTCCATCTACTCTTTCTCAATGTTATCAAACTGTAAAAGGCTGTTTTCCTTCTCTACCTCCCTGGTTTTCAGCAGATTGTTTAGTACATTACACACTGTGTCTCCTGACAACACTCAGGCTCTGTAACTCTGCTCCGCTGGCTCTCTGGAGAAATCATCGTCATTAATAGGAAACACGCTGGGCGTCTCTTTCACACTGTTGCACATGCAAGAAAAACACTTGCACTCTTTTAAATTGTCAGTATCTAATGTAAGGGGCAGCTTTGTAAAAATGTGTTTTAGTATAATTAACGTTGCATTCAGCTGAATAAAAACATTTTCTTAATTTGCCAAAGATGTAGCAGTGCTGGCATGCTTACTAAATATTATTTAATTATTTTCAGATTTATTACCTTATCTTTTGTAATTTTCAATATTATTTTGAAGATGCATCATCTTTTGAGATAATTTTATACATTTCATTGTTGTCCAACCTACACAGTTGTACAACAATGAACTACAGTATAAGATGGTCTATAAAACATGAAACCTAGAGAAGATTTGTATATGAATTTTTTTTATAACGTTTTCTGTTTTCAGAGAAAATCTTTGTTCTTTGAGGGTAAAACAACTCGTGACATAAACACCAGAAGGTGATACTCATCTCACACTGTGTTGACAGTGCGTTCTCATTAAAATGGATATCCAGTCCAGCCAAACCGTTTGATCACTGTGCTTGTGCTGCCATATCCAGTAGAGACGAGGGACTTTATGAACACTGATTTGAGTGCCAGATATAGAGCCGGTGATGTGTCACATTGACCCTGTGGTGACCGGCACAGCCCCTCTTCCCATGAGGTACCTCTTAGGGGTTGTAAAGTCGAGTTTGTTTCCAGTAAGTCAGCCAAATGGGTTTATCAGCAGGACCGACAGGCTTAACCTAACATGATCTAAGCGGGTTCGCCCTGTGGTTCTGCCTGGATTCAAGATGAAAAATAGGTGAAAAACAATGGAAGCAAAGGGTGAACAGTGTTATCATAATGATAACATCAAAGTGATGCTAAGTAGAGATAGAAAGTTTGTGCTTCACCAAGTTTTACTGACCTTTGTGAAGATTCATACATAGAAACATTGACTTAAAGTATGTTACGATAAATGTGGAAAGTTGCTCAAGACAGTGACTCTGTTCCTATATGGTTTGGGATGGAGTTTATGCTAAAGACGTTACTGTGGTTTGTTGCTTTATTTACTGATGTTTTTGGTAAAATCAGCTAGAAAGCTTTGACCATATCATATAACTTTACTACCAAAGCCAATTAGACGTTTTGTTCATGTGACAGGACTGTGACAAAGCCTCAGATGACTGTATAATTTTCCACTCAGTAATCATGTGTGCTTTTACTGGATTTCATGTTTATTTTTCCCACCCCGCAGACACGTATGTAGTTTTCTTACCGTTAGTAGTGACCCAGAGTGTCTGAACAAGTATGACACATCCCAACATCTGAAAACATTGACGGAGGACTCACCCATCTCTCGTACTGTCCATAGCCGTTAGCTGGGACAGGTGATGAGGGCTGCCGAGGTCCCCGTCCAGTCGACGCTGCTGAGATGGCAGGTCAGCGGTGGAGGAGGGGGCAGGGTTGGGGTTACTGGAGAGGAGCTCCGCTGAGGCGCTGTGATGGGGGGTGCTGGAGCCAGTGTACAGGCCTGAAAGACAAACAAAGCTAATTTGGTCAATGTGCCAGATAAACTGGAGGGCCCTGTGGTCCCTCTTTCTTTTGAGCAAATTAAAAGCCATTTCATGGCAACGGCATTTTGTTTTGACAACCTTCATCCAATCAGAGAGTTTTGTAAAATAAAATGTTCAGTGCTTGCGCTGTTTGCAAGTTAGAGTACACTGTTTGTGTTGCCACAGGGATTGGCCTCGTTTGTCCTTTCAGCTCCTTGTTCTTATTACACAATAATAAACTAAAACTTTACATGTGTTTGAAGAGCAGGGGGAGTAAGGTTACTGGGTTAGTGTCTGTTTTTCTGTTTGTGCATGCGGATGCTCAACATTATGGTTATGTGAGTACATGTTGGTGTATATTTAACTGTGGAGGTGCAGTATATGTAATACATTTCAGCCTGTGCACATCTTTGTGCACATGGTGCGAGTCTTTTAAACTTTTTATATAGTGCTAGAAATATGGATGAAACGGCATCATTTCTTGCCTCTGCTGCAAAATGTCCAACATGTCTTTCCCCATTTAGTCACTGTGTTTTTCTGAATTATATTTGATTAACATGATTAAATTATAGACACCAAGTCTTGTTGGAAGAAATTGAACTTGAATTCCTCACACAGTTTATCTACTCCCTCCATCTTCTGTTCTGTGTATTTCCTGATTTCTTTCCCAGCATCCACCAGGAGAGCTGCGTGCTCACCGTCTGGAGCAGCAATGAGAGGAAAAGACAGAAGGAGATGAAAGCAAGAGAAAAGATCGGTGCTCCTGGTTTTGCCGTTTCCAGGTCCAGCTGTTTTCAAGTGTAAGCATGCTGAGGTCTGATCTGACAGCATTCTGAAATGGTTACAAGCTTGATTCATTACCCCCAAATCATCAATCACAGAACTTAAATGTTTTCCCCTTTAGCCCCAACATCTGCTACCAGACCGGCACAACGGTCAACAAATAATGGCTGTGATTGCTTCAATTTCATCACTAGCTCCTTGCAGAGGGACACAGAGAGGCTCTAATGGTGCACTTTACGAGTTAGTGGAGGATTATGTTCTGAGGATTTTGTGAATTGGCTCTGAAACGTTTCTGGTCGAATTCAGGAAGAGAGCTCAGTGTGAGAAGGAGATGGAGAGGTATATCAGCTACTCAGCACAACAGTAGGAGCACATAAACCTCTGCATTTAAACTATGATGAGTCCTTCCTCTGGTAAATCAGGTAATACTCTAATTATGCTCTATAAAACAGAGAAGTGCTTCTTGTAAGCTGCTGCAGCTGTATGAATAAGAGCAGACTTGTAACCAGCAAACAGGAAAACAAGCTCAGCTCTGACTGGAAACATGAATCATTTTAAGCATTACTGATGGGACAGCTGTCCTCACCTCTTCCGTGCACCCTATCAGCCCTAGAACAAAATGAAACTGATGTATATGGAGATCCTGAAAGCCAACCTGCAACATCTTTGCAGGGCCTTGAATAACACTGCATCCTTGAATGCTTTATGATCACTCATGAGTGAGTGAGCTCCTTGGGGATTTAAGCCATTTAAAACCAGAGAGCAAGCAGCATTCACTCAGAAACAGGGAGGCCAAGGGTAAAGAGCCAAGACTCAGAGGCCCGGACTGATATTCAAAGGCAAGTTGAGCATTCACAGTTGTCAACGGTGCATTAAGCTCCAGCAACAATAACAGAGAGCAACGGGAAGCTTGGACGGGGTACAACCAGAAACCAGGACAGATGTGTCCATAAACCGAGGAAGCTGCAGGGCATCTTTCTTGTCGTTAAGACTGTTACAATCTATTTAGCTCTCTCTTCCTAATCCAAAGTAGTGTTTACTTTTGTGACAGTCACATACATCAAATAAGTAAATGGAAGTTTAAAGGCTACATGAGGCAAATAAAGTTACCGGTTGCTGCTGTTGCTAATGGTTTTTACATGACAAGATGACAGGTTGACATGATGTAGTTATGAAACACAAACTAAACAAACATAAAGTACATGGTTCTAACACTTCCTTCTAAACTTATATAACTGAAGTACAATCCAAGAGCTGAAATGTTGATATTAAATGTAACAAGCGTTAAAGATAAATTATTGGTGCCATTTGTTTGACCAAAGGCACTGTAAATATGATTTTTCTTAAACTGCCAGAAAGTACAAAATTACTATAATACATCTGCAGGAACATTTACATGGCTGTCGATTATCACCAGTGACTCTGTGATTGCTTTGCCAGGTGCCAGGATTTCTGGCGGTCAGACCTCACTTGCTGGCCCGTTCTTCTGTTTTGGGACAAATACTCCCTGGCCATTGACATTTTGAGACTCAGCCAGTCTCTTGCACTCACATTTTGAATTGCTCAACCATGGAGGATGGTGCTACTACTGGTGTGACATGATATGTTGGATTCAAGTCAATGGATGCATTACTTGTTAAAATATCTTTGTTAGATTCATGCAATAATTATCAACAGTAATATTACAGTATTTTGTGCTATATCTGTAACTCTATATTATCATGGCATTGGATGACAGAGCAGTCTCCTGTGCACACCTGTGAAGATGTCTTGGCCGAGTCCAGGAGAACAACCATCTTTACTGTTGTAAAGGTGCTGTGAGGAGGTGGAGTTTTGAAGGTGCTGCATGGACAGACAGTTATTCAGAACGTCCTGCTCCAGGTGAGGGCACGGCCGAAGCTGTGAGTCACAAACATTAGAATAACATTAAATACAGACAAGAAATTATGCTGAGTCATTTACAGAGAAGATTATGCAACCGAAGAACAAAACAGTTTCAGTTTTGTCTGTTTGTAGGTTGGAGCCTATGTGGGGTGTGGGCTCTTTGTGTTTTCTCTTTTTGCAATAATGTGATCATAATGTTAATATGAAACAGTAACTCAGCAAATGAGAATGCTTTGTTAGTCAGAAGGAACAGAAGAAAGATCATCTGGTCCCTTTTGAGTCATGCATTGGCCTTGGACATCGTGGGTAAGTGATTACTGTACTAAAACAGAGCCAATGTGAGACTGGTTCTGTTTCTCTGCCTGCCAACAGTAACGGGGGCAAATGAAGACACATTTCTGCTGGAGAGGCGATCACACGCCATGCAGAAGAAATGTACTGTAAACCTAAGGCAACTTGTATCAGTTGAAAAAATGGGAACATCTATAGTACGGACCAGTGAATAGCTGACCTGCACATACAGCCAGTATGGAAAGTATTCAGACCCAAGTTTTCCACATGTTATGTTTCAAACCCATCTTCACAATAGATTCAGTTCAATTTTTTTCCTCTTCAATCTACACACAGTACTCCACAATGATACAGTTAAAACAGGTTTTTGGAGTGTTTTGTAAATTTATTACAAATAAAAGAAAGAAATATCCCATTTGCATACGTATCCAGACCTTTTGTTACAACACTTGCAACTGAGTGCTGGTGCATCCTACTCCTATCAGTAGTCAATGAGATGCCTCTAAAGCTTGGTTAGAGTCCACCTGTGCCTAATTTAATGTACTGGATATAATCAGGGAAGGCACACGCCTATTCATATAAGGCCTCATAGTTGATGGTGTATGTCAGAATGAAAAACGAAGCCATGAGGGCACACACAGATCTTGTAGACCTATGAGACAGGATTGTGTCAAGACACAGATCTAGGGAAGGATACATGACATCGGGGACAGGGGGCCTTGGTCAAACAGGTACCCAAGAACCCAAGAACCCAAGGGTCACTATGAATGAGATCCAGAGTTTCTTTCTGGAGATCGGACAACCTTACAGAAGGACAACCATCAGCACAGCACTCCACCAATCAGGCCTCTATGGTAGAGTGGCCAGATGGGTGAGTCATTCCTCACTAAAAGACACATGGCAGCCTGCTGGGAGTTTGCCAAAAGGCACCCGAAGGACACACAGACCACAAGAAGCAGGCCACAATTCCCAACAGTGTGTGTGTGTGTGTGGACAAAACCAGTCACCGAGCATCACCTCATTAATATCATCCCTACAATTAAACACGGTGGTGGCAGCATCCCGACCTGAAACCAAAAGAGCATCTTTGAAGAGACCTGAACATGGCTGGGCCCCAAACCACTCGCCATCCAACCTGACTGACCTTGAACAATTCTGCCAAAAAGAATGGGAGAACTTTCCAAAAGAAAGGTGCCAAGCTTGCAGTTTTATCCCCAAGAAGACTTAAGGCTGTCACTGCTGCCAAAGGTGCTTTAACAAGTACTAAGTGAAGGGTCTGAATACTTATGTAAGTGGGATGTTTCAGTCTTTTATTCACTGTAAAACTTTACACTGGCTGAGGTACACATCAAGACTGACCTAACAACCACACCATTTTTTAGGAGGATAAAGATAAGGATAAGGATAATCACCTTTATTGGCCAAGTATGTTACAGACAAGGAATTTGTTTCTGGTACAGAACCGATGGCAGCCATCTGCGGTGCCATCTCTTTTGCCTTTAAAGTCAACATAACTGATTATCTGAGGTAGGCAGTAAGAAAATAATTTCAAACCAACGGTGTGTAATGCAACATGGCCAAACATCAGTTGGCCACAGTGTAGCAATGAGTGACAACATTGACAGTTACTCTAAACTTACAACCATCATTTAGGGCTTACAGTACATTTTGTCATTTGAGGTATGGTATTATTTAAAATTAAGCAGATTTTTGATTAAGTGTTGGGGCCTATTGCATTACTGCTCTGACTCTCCAGCTGCTCTTATATTATTAAGCTAATTGTAGCTTTGTCAGCTGGTTTAGTTAGCTGTGTAACTGTTGCACTGCTAGTTACTGGGTGCAAAGATCTAGTGAAAACTATATCTATTATGGTGCAACCTGTTTTAATCAATACTATTTATTTATTTTTATTCATAAACCACATGTATTCACTTATTTCATTGATGCATAAATCTCCATTAGTGAAAACTTACATGAACTTAAGCACAATTGGTACAACTGGCTTTAAATCCAATACATGCAGTTTCAGTTAATCAGGAATCAAATCAAAATATAAACAAATTGTAAAGAAAGTGTGTACTGTTATCATGCTGTGATATTAATTGTCTTGACTAATACACATTTTTAGCATATATTATTATTATTATTATACAGTACTAAGTGATAACTTTATGATAACAGCCTGGCATAGTTGCTTTGAGTCAGCTGGACAAGAAGAAGTCCAGTGCTCCATTTGCTAGGATTTAGATTTAATAGTTGGACTGTGTGTGGAAATATCCTTCAGCGTTATCATGACAGACAAAGTGGACAGACCTTCTGCCTTCTTGGCCACTGAAATCACAATTGATTGCACTTTTCAACATGCTGGCATCATCCACGTCTCACACACACACTGATACCGTGTATCAGTAAGTGTGTGTCCGTCCTCCTGGGAGATCCTTATGAGTGTGCTACAAAACTTTCATCACATGTAACCGAGGCTCTGTTTCCCCTAAAAGAACTCTAACACAGCACTCCTACCAGTTTTTCTCTGGGTCTGCTCCAAAAGTGGAGTAAGAGCATTTGTTTAACATTTGTCCATAACATCTGGCCACTGGGGTATTTTGCTCTACAACTTATTAACAATGCTACAAGCACATGTGTTTCCCTTTACGACGCTAAGCAAAGGAACACATCATCCAGCTCTGCCACTATCCAGCCCCTTCCACAACAATGAGCCCATTCTCTCTGTTATTTACTCACTTCCAGTCAGGGGAAGAATAGGCTTTTGAGCATGTACATGATGAAATGTGATCAAACCTGATCTATTGTTGGGCAAATGATTCTCTAAGATAAACCCCTAAAGGCCACAACTGGCCTCCCAACCCCTCAGTTAAACCAACTCGATGGATCTGTGGATAATGTAGATCACAACAGGACAGATTATATAAAGTGGTCTTTTTGTAAAACCTGCAGCCCTAACCCTACTGACTTGAATGAGGTCATACTGGAAGTACACCAGGAAAAAGATGCACAGTAGCTGGTGAGCAGGGTAGAAGGAAGCAGTAGCTTTGTAATCTACACAGACAAAGCAAACTATATATGTTCCCACTATAATGTGTTTACACAAATTTAAAAAATTAGTGCTTAATTAATTTAAGTCTGATTTTTAAGTAACTTTCATTTGCTTTTATTCCGTGCTCAAAAATAAAAAACAACAACGAATGTCATGTTGTAACATATGATAGAACTTTGGTTCCTGTTTAGCAACTTCTTTGCACTCTACTTGTATCGAGTACCTTACCTTTCTACACACCTGTTGTTCTTTGGCTGTATGGATCTTGACATGTTTGCGTAGGGAGCTGGGATCTGTGTATCGCTTGGTACAGCCGGGGATCTGGCATGCATATGGTTTCTGTGAGAAGAGAGAAAATAGTTCCCATCAGTTTGAAGGCTGAAATAGATTTAAATTTTCTTTATTGCAAGAAAGATCAACAGAGGAAAACTCAGGCCAACCAAGAAAATGCCAGAGGATTTTTTTTAAAAGGGAGCAACATTAAAATTAATACACAGTAAGTTTGAAATTTGCTGAAGTAAAGGTAAAGTTAGAGTCCTACCTTACAGCTGAGAAAGACAATTTGAAGTAAGAGGAAGAGCAGAAAGAGGATGAAAAGGCAATCAGTTGTAAAATACTGGAATATCAATTTATCTCTCAATAAGACATGACCGAATTGTGATCTATTTATTATTCAGGGTTGTAAAATGCTCCTCAAGTATAATGACAACACCAATTCTGCATGATTAATAATGTGTAAATACTTAAAGATGTACCTAAAACAGTCAGCTAATACATAAGTTTAAGAAAACTATTAGGACATGGTCAGCTGTGTTTCACTTGACTCCTTTTTACACAAGTGAGACAACAGAACTGTGGAACATAGGATTGTTGATGAATAAAGAGTTATAGGCTGTTAAAGCAATCTGCCCTATAGCCTCAGCCTGGATATCTGTATCTGCTGGCATGCAGCTGGTCATAAACATGGAGCTGTTGGCAGGTTAGTGTCAAACGGGTGTTCTGTCACAGTGTTTCCTCATCATTTCACATTCCTCTCATTAACTAAGCAAATAAAGCATGTAGCTTTGCTGATTGAGGGATTTTCCCCTCACAGCAGTTTTTCTTCATCTTCAGAAATTTAAGTTTCCCATTAAATGTAAGGGGATACTCGTCTTTATTACGTCTGCCTCCGTACCTCAACCGGGGTACCCAACCTTGTTATTCCAAGACGCTTACAGTGCCACTCATCTCTGCCATGTTTGTTTTGTCAAGCAATGTATGAAAATGTTCCCTCAAAGTGTTTCTGACAGGGCAGGCACACTGAAGCAGGGTGCTAATGTGAAGCCATAAGCGTCAGGGTGCGTAGTATAATACTACATGGACCAACAAAAGCATTGATGACCAGCCAGTACATGAACATGGAGGTGGGGGTGGGGCATTCTGGTAATATAAATAAAATAAAAATAATGTTAAAACAAATTTGTCTTTCAATTTAAGTATAGTAAAGTATGGTGAAATACAGCTTCCTTATCTGCAATGCAGTGTCACTGATAAAGTCTGAACTCACAAGTCTGATGTGAGGTTGAAGAAAAGTTACAAGTGCTTGGCACCATATACAACAATGCTGCCATACAAGGTAAAAGTAACTTGTTAAAAATTTCAAGGTTTAAATTATGAAAGAAATTTTATCCCCATTATTAACAATAATAATTCTATGACAAATACTCAGTTTTGTTCTATCCTGGACAAGGGACCTCTTCTCCGTTTCTTTTTGTGTTTTGTATTTTTAAGTGCCCTTGATCAAATCAAGGGTGCTGTTACGAATGTAAGGCTCTCTTTAAATAAACAAATATGTAATTAATGGGTAAATGAAATTTGACATGATTGTACTGTATGTGAGTCTCTGGCAACACATCACAATCTATCAAGTCTGAATTTAGACTAACACGAATTAGACTGTGGCTCAGGAGGTAGAGCAGGTCGTTTCCTAACCGGAGAATTAACGGTTTGATTCCTGGCTTGTCCAGTCAACATGTCGAAGTGTCCTTGAGCAAGACACTGAACCCAAAGTTGCTCCCGGTGATGTCACCGGTGTGTGAACGTTTGTGAGTGTGAATGGGTGAATGGCAAAGTAGTGTAAAAGTGCTTTGAGTGTGCTGTAAGGCATAGAAAAGTGCTAAAAGTGCTATACAAGTATAAGACCATTTACAAACACAGATTTGACAAACTGACTTTATGCCCTGCATCTAAAATGCTAGTTTATTTATGTTACTGGCTTAAAGCTGGTAAATGTATATATTTTGTTGTCTTTAAGTATCTAGTAATATATACAGTAGATAAAATAATTAGATAAATAGTGTGACAAAAAGTGGTAATTATTTTACAATGAAGAGGAGAAGCTCCCTGAAATGGCAAAGAAAACAAATAAGAACATAACTTGAGCAAACTTATTGACTTCATAGCTGTGCTGGCGGGCGGATGGTGATAAAGTGAAGTATTAGTGTGATTACTGAGACACGATGAGCAGCAGCGAAGGCTGACTCAACTTTTCCTTCCCTTTCTGCAAGTCAGAGAAAACATGAAGCTCTGTCTGACCTCGCAGCTCCAGTCCAAGTCTGAGCTGAGACTCTGCCTAATGGAACTAATCATTTAATGATCTGTGGCGTTGTTACTGCCAGTGTGGAGTGAGTGAAAATGCCACACTGCTCACTGACTGACAGCAAATTAAAGTTTAACACTGTCAAGATGTGGAAATGGACACTGAGGTCTGTATGGCTGTGCGGCTTTTAATGTTGGTGCAAATGCAAAAATGGGGTACAGCATGAGGACACACTTTCTGGGACTGGTAAACACTTTCCCATTCAATTCAGTGGGAAAGTGTGCCAACTAATTTTTAAATTTTGAATATAATCTAATCTCTGAAAAGATTTTATAGGAACTAGATACAGCCTATATCAGGAAAACACAAACTTTTGTAGTCTATAATTTCATGCAGCCATTCTTTTTGCAACTCTTTGACCACCCAGACTATTTCAACTATTGGACAGAACAAAGAGCTTCAGACCATGTCCAGGTGAGTGCGCTGGTGTTTGGCGCGGTCGCTGGAGTTGCTGAAAGCTTTCTGGCAGCCAGGATGCTGGCACAAGTATGGCTTCTCTCCTGTGTGGCTCCGCAGGTGGATCTTCAGGTTCTCCAGACGGGAAAATGCTTTGTTACAGCCCTCAAACTGTGGAAGAGGAAAGACGACACACACACACGCACACACACACACACACACACACACACACACACACACACAAAATCAAACAGTGTAAAGCAAGCAAATTCTGGCACAGTGTGAGCCTTGTATACTGTATGT